TCAAAGCCGAAGAGCCAGTGCTGTCCAAAGATGTCTCTGTGGTCATGTGGCCACCAAAGGCACACGGAACGCTATTACCTTCCCACCAAAGGTGGTACCTATTTTTCTACTTGCATTTTTACATGCTTTTGAACTGCTGGGTTGGCAGAAGCTGGGACAAGTCACAGGAGCTCACTCCGTTACATGGCGCTAGGGATTCGAAACACCGACCTGCCGACCTTTCTGATCGAAAACTCAGCGTCTTAGCCACTGAGCCACTGGGTTCCCTTTCAATGATTATATAAACCCCTTAATTGACAGGGGTTGATGGCTCAGCAGTTAAAACAAGACACTGAGCGTGTCAACTGGAAAACTGACAATCCGGGTTTGAGACCCAAGCACCATGAGATGGGGTGAGTTCTGGTTATTAGCTCCGTCTCCTGCCCACCTCGCAGTTCAAAAGCATGTAAATGTGAGTAAATAAATAGGTACCCCTTCAGTGGGAAGGTAACAGCATTCTGAGCACCTCGGCATAAAGTCACATACTCCCAGGGGTGTTGTCAGATAACACTGGCTCCTTCAGTTAATAAATAGAAATAAGGACCTCTCTGTAGAGTCGGACACAACTGGCGAGGGAAAACCTTTATCTTTAATTGACAGATCATCAACACAGTTGACACATAAGCATGTTTCAACACTCCAAGAGTGGGTGATGTAACGATATTGGTGTTAATGCAAGTTGATCTGAGAAGGACCTTGCAATCCCTTGTGGAATTCTGCTCGGAGAAAGTGCTTGAGATCAATTAGGACAAACTTACAAGTTTTGCAAAGTGCTCTAAAATCCCTAAATTGAAAAGAGGCATGAGCTACACCAGGTCAAACAGCGTAAGTGCTTGGGGATAATATTTAACCTGCAGAAAGTTAGAATGTACACTTAACGGTACTCTGTTATAATTTGCAGAAAGATCAAGCTTGACTGTTCAAACCTTTAAAAAAAAATATCCCGGGGAACAATATATATTTCAATAGAACAGAATATCTGTAGCTGTAGAAGAGCAGGCAGAGATAGGGGTAGTGGAGTTAAGCATGTCATTGGCTTAGAGTTGTTGCATTCCTACAAGGGGTCCAGGTCCAACTTCTCCTGAATTCTCTAGACACTTATCTGCTGCAAATTTAGTACTGAACTTCAGGTGTCTAGATTTTTGTATATAGGCCACAGCAATAAACCACTTGATCTACAACTTTAACAACTTATGCTGTAAGATGCCCAGAGTCACTTCAAAATGAGACAGGCATTAGCCCTGATCCTTTGTGCCTGACAGTAGCTCAGGGTTGAAGTCCTTGATGCTCTCTCTGTTTATACCTTGGTTGTACTTAACAGATTAACAGAGTTGGAAGGGACCTTGTAGGTCATCTAGTCCAACCCCCCACCACACAGGAGACCCTACACCATTTCTGACAAATGGCAGTCCAATCTCTT